GACAAAATGAGCCGAACACGAACGAACAAATATTTGTTCGTGTTGTTTGTGTTCGGCTCTTTAACTTAGCGAACGAGCCGAACACGAGCTTCTTAACAAGTCAAACACGAACTGTTCGCGAACAACAAACCGTTTTGACAGCCCTAATTGTAGCACGCACTTGACCAGTGTTCCAATACTTGAGATTCTTGCTATTTATTTGCGATGGAATTTGCCAATCACCTAATAAGTTGTTCTTCGCAAACTGGCCAAAAGCCGATTGCAGCTGAAATCTAAAATTTAACAAAGAAAATCAACAAATTAGAATCTCGGTAAAACTGAATGATCGAATCAAAATATAATTCAGCTTAAACTCTTTACTTATTAATAAACTAAGATTTAATTATTTATTAAAATTTAATTATGAACAGACATTACGAGTCTTCTATTTTACTTATATAATATCAATTTAAATTCATGAACCTTCTATTTATTTTATTCAAATATCATATATATAATATATATATAAGATAAGCTTTGTGTTTTTTTTTTCGATTTGTTCAATATTTAATCAAATTATAATAAAATTTACAAACATACCACCTAATGCTTATGTATTCACATATCTAACACCTAAATTTCATTTCTTACATTAATACCACCTTATCTATGCATGAAAATATGCATTTTGATTTTTTCATATATAAATGGCTTTATTTTTTATGTGATATGAAAGATGTGGGTTGCATAGATGCAAAAAAAGATGTAGGGTTTAGTAGTTACATATATAAATGCTAAGAAATTGGGTTGTATGTACGCAATTTTCCTAAAAATATAATAAAAAATTTAATTATTTTCAATTTTTTTTAGCTTATTCGCTTAAATGAAAATTAAAACCAAACTAAAATCCAAAATAAAAAATCAAAGTGCTAAAAACAAAAAAATCAAAATGAATTTTTATATCCAAACCAAACCGAATCAATCAAATTTGTTCAAGTAAGCACACCCCAAACCGCAACTCTGCCAAATCAACTCCTTTAGATTTGCTGGATGACATGTTTTTGGCTAAGTATGATTTTCTCATTAATCCATCAGATATTAAAGTAATAATTAATCCACAGCCCTTAATTTTGTTCATCACATTAAAATATAAAAAAATAAAAAAGAAAAAATAAACCGAAAAAGATCGGTCATGAAGCTTCATGAATACAATGGTGGAATGAATAGACGACACAACTTAATCACTTTTAACAACAACTGATATCAATTTTGATAAGACAGTAAATTGAATTTACATTTGTAACCCTCAAAGGATTCTTTCTTGCAAATCATTCATCAAACTGGAAGCTAGAGAAGTCAGCTTCTTACTCGTCTCACCAGCCATGTTCTTAAGAGAAGATATATCTTGAGATGCCTGAAGAAATAATAAAGGATTCAAATATGAACAAAAAAAATGAGTGATGTAAAATTTTCTGGGCAAAGCAGTCTTAAATATATAATAATTATAGAGAAATTTATTTAAATATATAAAACCAAAAGTTTGATATTTCAACCTATAACATTTGAAAATTGTATATTTCGCTTTTAAAAAGATAGCGATGGTTGTATTTTTTATGTAATGCTAAAGATTCGAGTGATATGCATGTAATTATGCAGGTTTAGATGTTGGATATGTATATAGATAAGAGTTGTGTGGTATGTATGTAAATGCTCCATAATTATTTTGTTATTACCTGGAAGGAGAGCCGGTTGATGAGGTCAGCTGCAGCCAGATCAAGATGAGAATCGCCAGCATCATTACCAAAAATATCTGCACTGGAAATGGATGTTGCACCCTATACAAAAGAATGTTAAGTGATGGTTTATGCTAATCCCTGTCATTAAACCTTTATAAATATGTTAAATCAATGGCCCATAAACCCCATTTATGCTAATTTAGAAGACTATTATTTTGCTAAAACATGGTTTAAAGCTTGAGTTGCATATATAATAATGTAAAATCAATTTAGATGTGATTTTATTTGACGAGTAAAATTTTCAAATTAAGGAGGACTTCACTTTCATCTAACATAGTTTTGATATAAAAGAAAAATTATGCTTTTCATTGTAAACCAAAATGAAAGTGGAAGGATTTGTTTATAATGTAAAATGCGGCAAGTTTATCATCTTAATAAGCTCAAAAAGAATCAGAAATGGCATACCCTAAATTTCTGCAAGACAATCTTATCCTCTTTGCCAATTGTCTTATTCTGTTCTCCAAAAAATTGTGCAGATGAAATAGATTTTGCATTAGAAAACTTCAGTCTTGCTTCATTGCTTTCCTGTAACGGTAAGCCATCATGAAGGTGGGGAAAGATTTAAGAAAAAAATAAATAAATAAAAGCAAGAACAAATTAGGTATCATGTTATATGATGATTTCTACAAGAAGCTGAGCTCAAAATTATATTTCACGACTCCCTAGCCAAGCATGTATTACAGAAGAACCAAACAAGTTTAAAAAGAAAAGAGAATCTAACCTTGTAAGACTTTGCATCAGAGTATAGATTTTGAAGTATTTGTTAAGAGCTAGAAAATTCATGACAATGGTAATTGAGAGAATAATTTTGGCTTGCAAAAAAAAAAACCTAGCATACATATAGATAAAAGACTATTTTTTTCAACGTGTTAATCACCTTCAGTGATGTTGGTTGGTGGATGCATGGAGGAGGAATCAAGAAAATGTAGGTCATGTAGTGGCACTCCAAATGAAAGTATTTAATTATACAGTATGAGCTCACATTTTGAGGTTGCTTGACCTTAAAATTTGAATGATTTTGAAATCGTTGAATTTGTCTCATAGAAACGCATCCTCCCGTTCATAAATTTGTTATAATTGGAGCATAGATGGCTTCTGAAGTAATTTTTAAAACTTCTGTTTTTAATTTTGAATAATTTTTTTGGATTTGTAAAAATTGGCAAAGCTTCAGGCTAGAACAAGTTGGATTATCGTTTTAAGCAAAATGATTTGCCTCCTTCCCTTCTTCAGGACAATGATGCATGCAATTCGATAAATACCCTAAATCATTACAAAAATTGTGAAATGCTTGCATAATTTCCACCAGCTGGAAGTAGGGAGCAACACTCTCCAGGGTATTTGCTCTTTTCTCTTGTTCTATACCACTTCATTGATTCGTTGGATCCCTAGTATCTACTCATCAATCCATTGACTATCAAAATTAAAGTATAACTATTATTTCACTACTCGTAATAATAGTATAATAATTTTTAATTACTCTTTTAATTTCGTATGTTTCCTATTAGATGCTTTCTTAAGATTATAAAAATGCTACATAGAAATCAAATAAAACACTCAACTAATTTCTCTAATTCTTTACCAATGGTATCAGAGCCTTGGACTATTTTTCTTCCTTCTATATGTCCATTACAATAACCTCTTCATCATCACATTACCACAATCCTTTATGGTGCACTTTTCCTTTTTCCCTATATTTTTATAATTGCAAACATGATCGCCGCATTACCACAAATATCTTTCATTGCTGTTGCAGTCTTCATCGAAGCACTATAAAAAATTTGCCCTATTGTTGTAGCCTTCATTGTTGCATTATTGCATTTTCTTTCTTTCTCTTTTTTTTTATAAAGAGAACAATTTTCCTCTCCATTGACAACAATCTACAACAACAACAACAACAACAAGCCTTTATCCCACTAAGTCGGGTCGACTACATGAATGCTTTTTCTCCATTGTGTCCTCTTGAGTGTCATATTTTTATTTAATTCTAATAGATTAAAATCATTTTTTATACAATTTGACCCAAGTCTTTTTAGATCTACGTCTATCTTTCTCAACATAAGTTAACTCTAAAACACATACTCTCCTAATAAGAACATCAGATGGTCTGCATTTCATTTGACCAAACCATCTAAAACGACTCTCTCTAATCTTGTCCGTCACTGGAGCTGCAGCAACCCTATCACAGATATATTCATTTTGCTTTTTGTCACTAAGTGACAAGCCACTCATCCACCTAAACATTCTCATCAAACATTCTCATCTCTAAACATTCTCATCTCAGCAACACTTAATTTTGTTTATGCTTCTCTTTTAAAGGCCAACATTCTGAGCATTACAGGTCTCCCCACCAACTTAAAAAATTTTCCTTTCAGCCTGAGCGGTGCTTTTCTATCCCAAAGGGTCAACGCGCAAAGGCGTGAAAGTGGCGGGCAGAATCCCACACTAAAAGACTTGTCAATTTCCGAATGAAGGGCTGTCGGACCCAGAGGGCCAACGCATGAAGCGTAAGAGGTGGGCAGAATCCCACACCGAAGGCATGTTGGCTCCCGAAGGAAGTCTGCCACGACCCGAGAACCGACGGCACGAAGCTTAACACAAGTGGGTAAAAACCCACGGCCACTTCCGAAAGAAAGGTCATCACGACCCAACGGTCGACACAAAAAGCGTAAAGAAGGTGGGTAGAACACCACGCCGGAGGCGAGTCAACTTCCAAAGGAAGGACTGCTGGACCAAGAGGGTCAACGCATTGAGCGTAAAAAAAGATGGGTTTATGCTATGTTGTACAACATGCCCACATAGCTACTAAGAGTTTTCCATGTCATTCATATTTTTTATTGGTATATATATTTTTTATCTCTGGCATATGCTGTCATCAGAAATTATTTGGTGTGACATACCAAATCGAACTGGTATGAAGAGTTCTCATGTAGGCATCTCAGATTCATGACTAGCTATACCATGCAAAACATAATATTTGCAAAATTCAGGTCCAGGTGGGATTTTCCTTAAGTACTCTTCCCTAATCCCCTTTCTTTAATTCTTTTCACTCTTAGTCTAATTAGGCCTTGTCATTCGTATCCAAGTGTTAAGAAATTATTTTTCTTTTGGAGTTGTATTTAGACCAATTAACCTTAATATTCTAAGGATCTTATCAGGAGAATTTTGAAATAAAAAAGTTCTTGATATCGAAACTTTTGATTTCCCACTTACCTCAAGCTTCTTCTCAAGAGTGTTGGCCAATTTTTTTTTATTTTTTGAGGTCTTTTTGCACATATTTTTTTTTTATATTTTTTCTGAGATTACTATATTTGGTAGATCTTCTTTTGTAATAAAGTAATTTCCTTTGACTCAAAATTCTCCCGAATAAAGATTCTTAGAATTTCATGATCCATTACTTATTAAGCTTACATCGGTCTAGCTGAATGAAAAAGTAAGAGATTTAAATAGTCTCTGAAACTACTAACATCTTAATGAAACCAATATAGTCATTCTGAGGTGTTCTCAAGACTTAGGTAAAAGTCCATTAAAGGAAGGGATTCAGCCATTGAGACAGTTCGAATTCCCCCAAACCATGAGGATTTGCAAATCCTAAGAAGGTGCATACATGGTCTGGCTTAGGCCCAGCCTTAGGATCTATCTCATATTCAACATCAAGAATCATCAAAGGCGAACCCAAGACAAGATTAACTAAGGGGCATGCTTCCTTTCGAAACCATCTCAACGACCTCCAAAAAAAGGAGTCGGAGCATCAAGAGATGTAGAGATAACTTGGTTAGATAAGTAGGGTCTAACCGGTAACGTTCAATATCGAGGTATTCCGACGAGTCATGGACTGATTTATAGAGACTAAGTGCCTAATCAGTTCAACATGACTATCAACAAGGTGATAAAAATGAACCAAGTCAAACAACATATCCATTAAGTTGGAAATGGGAGAGGGGATCAATCCCACTATCATGCTCTATCACCAAGAACAAACAAAAAAGTCAATAAAGTTCTAGATAGGTGAGGCATCAAATCCTAGTTAGGTTCAGATTAACTGACTAAATCAAATGCTGAGACATGTACAATGGTCTTAGCAATAAAATGCTCTCATCAAGAGCCTAGCCAAAAGGCTAACTAACTCAAATCAAATGAGACACTCTCAAACAGCCTGGGAGATGCATATCCCAGCTAAACATGGATCGGCTAAGACTAGCAAGGTGGTCTAATCGATACAACATGTTACCACTAAGAGATTTTGGGGATGTCCCCCAATTGGAGTATAGAACACCCATAGTAGTCTTGCTTAATAAGCAAAAGAGGTAGAATAAACACTCTTCAAAGCAAAGACAAGTAAACTCCTCGCCGTCAAATGTAGAAAATCGTTCTACATGTAGCGTCAGGATATCAGGAGACATGGTGGCAAGAATTTGCCTAACCCACAGGGTTCGCCAAAGTAGGGCGATCAACTTCTGTCCAAACAAGGTGAGAATCGACAGGGGTGCGCCCCAGACCTCCTTTTATCAACGTAGGACAAATTCATCTAGCACGATGAAGAGGAAACCACAACATTTTCCTTATAGCTCATGGATAGAGTGGGCACATCAAATGTGGGCAAAAGACACTCCATCAGGATCATCAATGATACCTGGTACAAAATCTGGTACAGTGGCATTGAGTATCACACCAAGGGTCCCATGCAACACCTAGACGGGTCTCATTGCCTGCACAAACATATGGCAGCCATCCCGGCCACGTAACGGACCGACAGGTGAACCCCGGTCTCCTACGACGAAGACCTATAGGATGAGAGGATTATAGAAGTTCTTGGAATGTCCGAAGCATCCAAGTAAAGAACTTCTTTCAAGAAAGAGGACTCAGTCCTCGTAGAGAGAAACTACTCCAATAATCTTCTTAGCAAGGGGATCTGTAGCGGAGTTATCAATATGGGTCGTAAAATTAGAGCAATCTACGTCCTAAGGAGGGGGAGCCCTCAAAGCTATCATGATCAGAGTGTAATTCACACAACCGAACAATACAACAAAGTGATTCTCAACCAAGGGAGCGCAAAATGTCCCATCAACTAGAACCACACAGGTAAAGAGACCTGTAACTAAGTCAACTGCCGTAATTGCAGAAATCTATTCCTATTCCTCTGGACGACTTGGCCCAATGTAGGGACAGGCGAGACCTCAGAGAAACTTAGAATGGTGGAGGCTAGGACGGTAGTCAAACGAGTGGAAACATTTCCTCTTAAAGAGGAGGCTGCTCCTACGATCTTCTCGGTCAGAGAACTCGTGGTATCAACAGCAACATGAACTGCAAGGTGAGAATAACATGCGCCCCAAAGAGTAAGAACCTCCAAACAATTCTGGCTGAAACATAGTCCACATCGTCAGACAGAGGGGGAAAATGATTCTCAACTAACGGGATTTGAGCATCATCCCGTACTGGATCCAAAAGAAGTCATGGCGAGGACATGATCCACACTGCTAGAGGACAAAAAAGGTGATTCTCAACCGACGGGATATAAGCATGATCCTGGGTCGGAACCAAAGAGAGCCATGGCGGGGACATACCACACCGCCAAAGGATAGTACCGTAAAAATAAACTCTAGCACTCTTAAATAATGCAACATCCGCGAGGATGAAAATCCTCAAAACACGGAAGGACTACAAAAGAGGCTAGGAAAACTCAAAAGAGTGTTGCAGCGCATCGCCATTTGGCACCAGCTCCTTACTCAAGGGAAAAGTAGCACCGATACGAGCTAATACAACGAAATGAGTGCTACATGCACAACTCCTCCTTTTCAAAAGAAGTCATGAAGCAAACGTCTAACAGGGACATAGTCCGCACAACTGAGGACAGTAGCAAAACGACTCATAATTCGGGAGTCAAAGACACCTCCTAAACTGGAATCGGGATAGGCATATAAACCTGAAGAAGAACATGCTGCAAAATTTGCAGCAATCTATTCCTAGTCCTCCTCGTCTTCCTGTCTAATCGAAGGACAGGTGGAGCCTCAGGAGAACCGAAACAAAAAAAGAGTCGAGACAAAAGTCACAATGGCGACAGCAAAGACAAACCTACTGCTAACAAAAGACTCACCTGCCATAGGCAGGGAGATCCATGAGAACACGAAGGGACGGGCCTGGAAAAGACCGTCAGGTGCTGCGGCGCGTCGCTATCGAGCGTCGGCCTCTTTTTACAAAAGAAGAGAGTGTGACACGAGCTACTGCAACAAAAACAACTCGTTATGCACAACTCCCATTTTAAGAAGGAGGGCACAAAACAAATGCCTCAGAGGGCGTAGAAATAACTCAATATGCACATCTCATCATTTTAAGTGGGAGGGCACAGAGCGCAACGCCTAAGAGGGTGCAGAAACGACTCAATATGCACGTTCCCCTTTTAAGGGGGGGCACAGAGCAAACACAGACTCAATATGCACGTCTCCCCTTTTAAGGGGGGGCACAGAGCAAACACCTCTAAGGGTGTAGGATCACGTAAGGTAATCCCAAAAAGGTGCTCTAAGGAAACAAAGGTTAAGACACCCTCGGGAGCACAAAAAACGCTCAGGGAGAAAGGAAATAGTTCCCCTAGCGGCAGCGATCGTTTCCATCTTTGTGTTCTCATGGAATGTATTCATGGACAACAATCCAAATAATAGTTTACAAAACATCCATCCAATATACCGATTAAATGCAAAGAAATATCCAAGTGGATGCAATTGCTTTGAAGGTTCTTACAGAAATAAAGAAAATAGGGTCATTTATAAGGCTTAGAAAGACAAATAAACTAGCTAAAAGTACCTAAAAAAACTAAAAGTATTTATACTCCAAATTATTGCATCATCTTCTCATGCCTTAAAGTCTCAGAGATGCCCATTTCTAGCTCCTAGATCTTTGATTCAAAAACTACATATTATATGACCAATTCTCCTAAGAAATTTATTCCATATGTAATTGATGGATCCTTGAGTTGTCTATGGATTCTTGAGTTGTTTTTATAAATAAATCAATCAATCCCCAGATTATCTTCCATCCCAAAATTATTTACCAACATTTTATTCATATAAATGCTAATTAAAGATTCAAAATGTAGTGTTATATTTTATCCTTCATATTATTTCTTTCAGATACATGGCATGAAAAGAACAATTGAACTTGTTTAAGAGAAAATCTATGCCTTAAGGATTTTCCCAATCAAGAAAAATTCAACCTTCAATATTATCTTCTCTCATAAAGACTTGCATCAAAATAAAAAAATAAAAAAAAGAATTGTAGCACCTATGCCTTGGCCACCCATCATTTATCATTCTCAAAATTATATTTCCTTTAATATTCAAAAAAAGGCAAATTTCATTGCGATGCTAATGAACTAATAAAATATAAACACACCAATTCTTTAATAAGTGACATAAGAACCTTTATTCATTTTTTTCTCATTGACTATCCTCTATACCTAACATCAATGGAGCTCAATAGTTTGTATAATGATTAAACCCGTGTGATTAATTTTTTATTAAGAGTCAAAAAGGTGTACATCTTATTGTTAAAATTACCAGAGTTTGATTTAATAATATAAAAAATTATTCTTACATATACACCAAAAAAATTAAACCTCTATTGGTCCTATTGTGTGATACATCCCAATAAGATAGAGTGGTTGAATGAAAGAATGACCATCTAAAAAATATATTAGAGAATAGAAATTATACCAATTAATACTTCATAAATTGATTACCTAGAAACATACCAAAATTCAAGAGTCTTACATAAGCCACGAACAAATTTTCTCCATTTTAATTGCTCAAATAACCTTGTATCCAAAATATTTAGATGCATTTCTTTGTTCATATAAATTCCAAAAGCAATGAAAAATTTGATCGTTAAGCAAATAAATGTGTTTTCGTTGGCCATTTTCCTCCCAAAAAAAAAAGGTACAAATGTAACTTCTAAGACACTTGTTTATGTCACCATATGTCACTTGCAATGAAAAACATGAACGTGTTATCAATACATACCCTGAGAAAGAAATAGCATTCACAAATGAATTCTTTCTCTTAGATTACTCTTCTTTAGTCATCCCAACAAGAAACTCTATTCTGGAACTAGTAATGCCTACCCAAAGCAAACCAATTCCAAAATCACTTCTTGTTCACCCATAATAAATTTACTCGAGAAGAAAGGCATCTCAAGCTATGTAAATCCAATCAATAGAATCAATCATTGTCATTGGTCCACTAGTAGAATCATTAAGCGTACAAAAAAAAAAGTACAAGATCTTCCATCAAACCTTTCTTAAACTTATTTTTATCATACAAAAATCTTTCTCATAATCACCAACCCTACCTTATTAGCGCAAACACAGCATTTCTATCTATAGAAAAATCTCTAAAGCTGTAGGGGAGGTAGGTCAATCTTGAACAAACGATATAACTTTGTGCTCTGGATTGAGTTGTTAGTTTGTTATTTTATATCATAACTATGAGTGGTGCTAGTTTTCTTTACTAGATTGATCATACTGTCCTCTTCAGTGCGCCTCAAAAAGAATTTTTTGGGACCCTTTTGCTACAGCCATCATCTCAACTCCTAAATTCTGGTTCTGGCACATTATATAGTAAAAACTAACATAAGAGCAATACAAACCATCTACATGTAAAATCATTGACTCCTACTGATTAAGTGCATTAGATTGCTGTCTAAAAAATAAAATGAAAAAATAATGCCTAAGAATCATATATAAAGAAAGACATCGCCAAAACTGTCATAGAAATAAAATATACCTCAATTTTTGATAAGGTAGAGCTCATTTTTTTCTGATATCTACCGTCCATTCCAAATTCATCAAAGAAATTTGAGGATTTTGGAGGGGCTACATGTCCACTTTTTTTGGCAACTTCAGAAATGGTTTCAGCAGCTGGCTTGCTTTCAACATACTCGATCCGAGATGACAAGGATGATCCATTTGTCTGACTAGCCAATGACGATACTGCTGGTTCAGAATTTTCAGGCTTCTGGTCATACAAACTTTCATTTTGCTGCAACCAATAGCATTTACTGAGCATAAATATCTTTCCGATCACATAAAGAAGTAGGATTTTTTTTTTCTTTTGGGACTGGTGAGCCATTTTGGCATAGATCGAAAGCGGGGCTTTACGTTGGAGAGAAAAGACTCTGCCAACTGAGCTCCGCGGTTCA